GAGGCGGTGGGGGGTGGAGGGGGGGGAAGGCGTACATCAATGGCGCTTCACATTTATGACTAGTGCATTGCCCAGTGATTGGTTATCAAGTCCTGGGAGCAATAGGGTGGGTATTTGTTATTGTGTGCAGTTACGCAGAGGTCTACTGTAGGAATCCCTGTCAGCTGAAAATGGTGAGGGGAGTTGGGTAATCCATTTCCCATTCGTGGGTCTGTAAGAAGTGTCTGCTCAGGTGGTCTGCTTATAGGGATATAAGCAACTAGTCAACTATCCAATAAGCACTTACAGTACTTATCAGATAGTTGACTAGTAACTTGACTAGTTGCTTCCTTCCCCCCTTGCTGCTTGTATCAGAGAGAGGCAGTAAGAGGAAGGAACAGGAGCTGGTGCTGGAGGCAGCCAGCTTAAAAGCCAGTTCCCCGCAGCAGCATCTCTAGGGGAGGAGAAGGGGTGCAGCAAGAAACTGGTGGCGTTTCCACCTTTGAAATGTAGCGAAAGCATGGCTCTTGCTACGTTTCAAAAGCAAAGTGCATGGGGAGCATGGGCCAGCGGGGGACTGTTTCAGTAAGAAAGTAATGGAAATTGAACCTAGTTCCTCTGTATTGAGGTGGTGTTGGTTCTACAGCTCCTAGTTCCAGGAGGTGGTTTATTTCCTATTATAGGAGGAGCTTGTGAGAGGGGTCCTTGAAAAGGGATGGGGAAGGTGGAGAGTGGAAGAGATAGAAATCAAAGGCATAGAATAACCCTGCTGGATAATTTCCAGGATCCACCTGTCTGTAGTGATGTCATTCTAGACTGGGTAAAAGAAAGTCAGATGGTCCCCAAATGGTGTTGGAATGGGACAAGAGATTGGAATTGACAAATGAAGAGGGCTCGTACCTTTGACCAAATTTTCAAAATGATTGGCAAATATTGTTGATTGGAATGTAAAAAACTGGTCTGGAGTGTCTCCACTTGTCTGTCTCTCTTTGTGCTACTGGGAGTAATGATGCTGCAGTTGAGAATAAGGTGTTGCCCAAAATTTGGGTTTAAAGTTTTTCCTGTTTATTTCTGTTGTCAAGGATGTAAATCCCCAGGGTTTCAAGGCGCCTTGGGAGTTCTTCAGAGTATGTAAGAATGCATCCTTGGACTCTGCAAACAGTTTATGGCCCTTGAAGGGCATATCCTCAACTATTGCCTGGACCTCTCTCAAAAACCCAGACAGGAGCCAGGACACCCAGTGAATGACAATTGAGGTCGTGAGGGAGTGTACTGCTGTATTAGCTGAGTACCAAGAAGCTTGAAGAGCCATTCTAGCAATGAGGGAGCCCTCAAAGATGGTTTCTTTGCACGCCTTTTTCTTGCCTTCTGGGAGATGGTCTTTAAAGGATGGCATTTCTGTGGCACCATTTCTCCAAGAATCTCATAAGATATGCTGGATCAGATCAGTGTACCATTTAGCCCAGTATCCTTCTGATGCTTCACGGCAAATAAACAGAATAGGGTAATTATTGAGTGATTCATCTCCTAATGTCTAGTCCCAGCTTCTGGCAGTCAGAACTTTGGGACACCCAGAGCATGGGGTGACATTCCTGACCATCTTGACTAATAACTGTTGATGGACCTTCCTCCATGAACTTATCTATTTTTTTAATGCAGTTATACTTTTGTCCATCTAAACATACTGTGGCAATGATTCCACAGGTTGACTGCTCATTGTGTGAAGTACTTTCTAATGTTTGTATTAAATCTACTGCCTATTAATTTCATTGGGTGACTATTGGTTCTTGTGAGACAAGGTGGATAAAGTAATATCTTTTATTGGTTCTTGTGCTATGTGAAGTAGCAAATACATTTTCCTTGGTCATTTTCTCCCCATAAGTCATGATTTTATAGACCTCAATCATATCCCCATTTAGTCATCTCTTTTCTAAGATGAACAGTCGTAGTCTTTTTAATTTGGGGGCTGCATATGCAAGCTGCTCCATAACCCAATACCTTTTGTTGTCCTTCTCCGTACTTTTTCCAAGTTTAATGTATTATTTTTGAAATGGGAAACCAGAATAACATGCAGTACTTAAGGTGTGGGCATATCCTGGATTTAAAACACTTTACCAACATTTATTGCAACTTTACAGATGGGAGCATAGGTACTCTAAGTATATGACTACACTGCAATCACAGCATGCAATCAGTCAAAAAAAATTTAATCTAGCTATCTTGGGAACCAGTTAGTAAAACTGCGGCAGCATGTGCTTCAGCCCAAGCTGTAAAATCCTCCCAGAACCCTGGATTAATTCTCATGGATCTAGCCCACACAGAAACTCACAGAAACTCCCGTTATGGGCATCCCAAACTAGCTAGATTTAAGGTAGCTCGGGTGTCTTGGCTCAAGCTGCAATCATAGCCAGTGGCTGAGGTCTAAACATACTCTAAGTCACTCTTCAAAGGTCAGAAAGTGAGTTTATCACAGACCAAACCCAGTGTTATCTTTTGTATCTAAATAAATAATAGAGAAACTGATTTTCTGGAAGGCCAGGAAGTGAGGGAAATAACATCTTTGCTCATGAGATATTAGAAGTCATCTGAAAATCTATTATGAAATCTATTTCATATCTGAGATCTTAGTAATTGACAAGCTTTTTTCTTACTGCATGCCAAGTAGATCCAGCCGTCAATTCAGATTTTTCTAGCAGAACGACATCCTTCATGCCAGCCTTGGCCAGGTGGTAAGCAAGACTTACACCAATGCAACCACCACCAATAATCACCGTCTCTGCTGTATCTTTCCATTTAGCTCCCAAAAAAGATAATAGTTTTTCTTCTCTGGAAAAAGAAAGTCACAAACAGGACACAAAACTGGTCTTTTATCTTCTCAGCTAAGCTAGCAATAGTAGTTAAAATTACTTTTAAAGATTTACCTTTATCTTGTCCGGCCTCCTGTAACTCACAGGCCGTTAAATTTCACCCAGTCACCCCTGTACTGAGCCCAGTAAAATAGTTTAAACTAAGCATCTAAGTTCTCAGGAGATTAAACAGTTGTGTGACACAGGCATAGAGCAGGAGAGACAGAGATATATCATATAACCAATGCTCAATGCCCTTGGAATGGCAGGAAATTGATTAGGTGAGATAGGCCAGATGATACCAGCCAGTAATCAATGTTCTATGATATAGAGAAAAGTAAAAGAATCCCAAGATCCCTGCAAATCTGAATTGGGGGAAATTTCTTCCTGACTCCAGATCTGATCATCTGTAACCCTCTGAGCATCTGAGTAAGACCATTAATTAGGGAGCTAAGGCAGAGGACCCATATCATCTCATATCACTAGATGATTTTGTGGTCGGTTCTTTTCAGCCATATACTCTATGTCAGTATGACACTGGTTCACCTTGTCCAGTGCCCCACCTACAACAGCGGTCAATATCTTATGTTTCAAGGGAAGTTCAAAAACAAAAAAACTGAGAATAAATCTGGCCTATTGTGCCTGGGGCAAAATATTTCTTCCTAATATTTCTTCCGCAAGCAAATAGCTGAAGTCCTGAACCAGGAAAATTGATCAGAGACATTGTTTTAATGCAGATCAACAAGTGTCTTGACCATGTAGAGGACAAAGAGTTTTCTCTTCTCTTCATAGTCCATAAAGGGAGAAAAAGAATTCATTGATCCCCAGACCAGACAGGACCACCACGACCATCCAGCCTGACAGGCCACCCACCCACACAGGCAATAGAATTTTTCCCAAAAATTAATTTAAATCATACTTAATAAAGATATCTAATTTTGTTTTAAAGACTACAAGAGATAGGGAGTCCTTTCCCTCCCTCTAGTAAGCTGTTCCATTGATTAATCACTTTCAGAGTTAGGAAACTGTATCTTATTTCAAGGCTGAATTTGCCTAACTTAAACTTCCAGCTATTGGATCTATGTTATGTTATGTCTTTGTCTGCAAAACTGAACATCCCTCCCCTGTAGCAATTTATACAGCTTTTCAATGTATAAGAAACTATGCAAAGTGATCGTGTCATATCTCAACCTTCCCTTGGTTAACCAAACAGATTGAGTGTCTTAATGCTCACTAGGTAAGCCTTGATTTACAGCTCCTGTATCATTTTTGTGACTCTCCTTTGAACTTTCTCTAGTATTTCTATATCTTGCTTGATGTAGAATATGTGTGGATATGAATACTGGGCACAGTAGTCTAGTAACAGTGTTACCAATTCTGCATATAAAAACAAAATCACTTCCTGGTGTCTACCCGACATTCACATTTTTACATATCCAAGAACTGCATTAGCTTTTTTGCTACGCCCTTGCAATGAGCGCTCATGATGAAGTGGTTATTCATAATGACCCCTAAATCCTATTCTGAGTAATTGCTTTCCAAAACCAAATCTCCTATCCTAGGCTACGTCTAGACTGCAAGCCTCTTTCGAAAGAGGCTTTTTCGAAAGATACTTTTGAAAAAGCTTCTTTCAAAAAGAGCATCTAGACTGCAATCTCTTCTTTTGAAAAAGTGAGCCGCTTTTTCGAAAGAGAGCTCCCAGGCAGTCTGGATGCTCTCTTTCGAAAAAGCCCTGTTTGCATTCAAGACCGCCTTTTTTCAAAAGAGCACTTTCGAAAAAAGGCGTTCTTCCTCGTGAAATGAGGAGTACTGTCGTCGAAAAAAAGCCACGTTCTTTCGATTTAATTTCGAAAGAACGCGGCTGTAGTCTAGATGCAGGTGAAGTTTTTTCGAAAAAAGGCTACTTTTTTCGAAAAACCCCTGCAGTCTAGACACGACCCTTAGAGGTATAACTTGAGTTCTTTGTTTCCACATGCATTACCTTTAATTTGTCTTTGTTAAAAGGCATTTTGTGGGATTGTGACTACCTAACAAAGCAGTTCAACACACTCTGTAATAGTAACTTGTGCTCCTTGTTTATTATCCCACCAATTTGTATTCAAACTTTACCAGACAACATTATATATCATGGTCTAAATCATTGATAAAAATATTGAATATTGGATCAAGAAACCAGGATGGTGGACCCCACTAGAAACAGTCCCACTCATTGACCTCTCTCCATTAACTATATTTTGAGACATGCGAGACAGTTTTAATTCATCTAAAGTGTGCCCTGATGGTTCCACAGCTTTAAAAATCAGAATGTCATTTGATACTAAATCAAATGCCATGGAGCAATCCAATATACCAAATCAATGTCGCTGCTGTAAACCTGGTTTTTTCTAAAGTAACGCTTGAGAAGACCTACCTTCCATAAAAACATGCTAAACAGCCACTAATTATATTTTAGTCTCTAATTCTTTGATAAGAGTCCCTGATAAATCATTCCATTATTTTGCCGAGGGCTGATGTCGGGCTGATACTGTCTGTGGTTCCAGTCCACTAATCCTTTAGAATTTCCCCAAGTTAAGACTTGTTAAAAATGAACATCAAGTGAAGAGCTCCTTCCTTGGCTGGCTCCTTTAAGACGTTATGATATAAGTTTGCAGCGCTGAATGTTTAATTTTAGCCGCAGATGCTAAATTCGGGTTCCCCTCTTGTAATGAAGCCAAAACCGGCTGACGCCTTTTCACTTGTATTTTAAAGGCCTCCCCTGTCAAACGCAGCAGACTGGTGCGATTCGAGGGTGCCTCTTTTCTGCCAATGGTACTTACTTTGCAATTCAGCTGGGAAAGGCGTGAGGGAAATGAGAGTTAGGGATGGGAGCGACCTGGCTGTCCAGGACAGCGAGCCCGCCCTCACCTCGTTCACTCGGACTTGGGGAGAGGTGAGCCTGTGCACGGGGAAGGAGCGAAGTACCAGGCTCCATCCATCCGCGCCAACATTTTCCCTCCACCAGAAAAAGGCGATTAGAGCGCGCAGGACTCACCGCCCCGCGGTGCCGGAGTCGCTGCTAACGGGGCGCACTCGGCTTCGCAGCTGGGGTGGAAGCAGCCGCAGGGCTCCCCGCAGCATGGCGCGTGCCGGACTCTCCGGGGTGCTGGGCTGGCTCACTAGGAAGCGGGGACGGAGGCAGAACAGCCTCCTCCCTCCCTCCGAGCCACAGCCCGGCGCCTCCCGAGGCCAATCCCCTTAGCTGAGGGAGCCGAGCCCGCCCTGCCTAGCGGGCTGGGGGGTGGGGGAGGAGGAATGAGAGCTGCCCTGCATGGGGCGTGGGCACGCAGCCCTCACCCCCAGCAAACATCTGCCTGGCTTGCATCAGGTCGGAGGGGGAAGAGGGGCCGCGGCGTCGAGCAGAGCCGCGCGGGATTACAGAGGGGCCCACGCAGGATCGGCACCTCGCGGTGGAGCCACGTCCCCAGAGCAGTCAGGGACCTAGAGCAGGGCTGGGAGGCGGGAAAGTGCCGCCTATTCCGCAATGGGCATCGGGGGCGCTCGGCAGGACCCACCCCCATCCCGCCTCTCCTCCAGGGCTATAAAGGGGCGGGCTGGGCTCGCACGGCTCTGTACGCTCCGAGCGCCCCGGAAAGATGCAGGCGCCACCTGTGGCAGAGAGCCGCCAGCACGCCAAGAAGGTAAATGCCCCGGGACTCGCGCCTGGCTGCAAGTCCCCAGCCCGCGCCGTGCGGTAGATAGCAACAGCGTGTGACTGTCATAGATTGCGACAGCGCCTGTCGGACCTGCCACCCGTAGAGATTGCTCCTCGGTCTCAAATCCTGTCTCCTGCCGCGCCCCGGGGCGAAAGGGTTTGTGTCCGCAAGGAAGTGGCAGGGTCAGAGCGTGGTGCTGTTCTCAGAGTACGATTTTGCCCGCCCACACTTTTGCATGACGCTTTCATTTCCCCCTCCGTCCCGCCGCCGGGCACTAGCAGCGGCCCCGCGAGTGGGAGCCAGGGATAGTGCCGCCCATGGTACCTCGGCGAAGCGACCTTGTTTGTTCCAGCACCGCGGCGTCTCCACACTTTGCAAGTGAGGGGCTCAAGCCCTTAGCGGCTGCTTCTCCTAGGGCACAGGGCCATGTCTACATTGGCACTTTCCAGCGCGGCCGCTTTCTCGCTCAGGGGTGTGAAAAAACAAGTGACAGCGCTGTAAAGTGCTAATGTAAACAGACTGTTAACACTTTTACGTGCTGTAACTTGCTGCATGGGGGGCGTGCTTTTTCACACCCTGATAGTAAGTTACAGGGCAGTCACTTACCAGAATTTGCAATGCTGCTCTATCCCAGAACAGTGGTCTTCAACTTTTTTTCATTTGTGGACCCCTAAAACATTTCAGATGGGGGTATGGAGGAACCCTTTTGGGAAATCTTAGACATAGTCTGCAGACCCCCAGAAGACCCTGGACAAGCTGAAAACTACTGAAGGGGACTTTTCCACAAATAGGTAGATACAGACAAAAATTAAAGAGCTTTAGAGGGGTAGCCCAGTTAGTCTGTAACAGGAAACACTTAAATAGTTAATCTGATAGCACTTTAAAGACTAACAAAATATGTAGATGGTATCATGAGCTTTCATGGGCACAGCCCACTTCTTATCTGAAGAATATTTCATATTAACATGTACAAGGTACTTTGTAGTGGATTTAACTAATGCATGATGTGAAATATACATTCAAAGTTTCCTTCTCTAGAAAGCCTTGGTCCACTCTATTTAAACTTTTGAAATGAACTCCACAGCCAAAGCTTCCTTGGCAGACCATGAGACCCAGATTATGGTAGTCAACATGTCAGATTTACTCTAGATCATCAGGGACCCCAAAGTACTCCAAGGAGTCTGTGATTCATGTCCAGGGCTGATCAGCTCCTCCCTATCCCTTCTAGTGCCTCCTGCAGGCCATTGATCAATTCCTCCCCCTTTCTAACAGTGTCTCCTGCACTTTGAAGAACAGCTGTTCTGCAGTGTGCAGGAGGCACTGTGAAGGGAAGGTGAGAAGCATGGACAGTATGCACTGGGGAAGGGGTGAAAAGAAGCAAGGGAGGTGAACAGGAATGGGAAGAAGTGGGTGGGGCCTTGGGAGAAGTGGTAGAGTGGAGGTGAGGCCTGAACTTCAGTGGAGTTTGAGCACCTGGGAGAGAAAATTAGAAGTCTGTGAAGAAATGAGGGTCCTTGGGTTGCTAAAGATTGAGATCGCTGCTTGAGATCGCTTGGCCAGACCCATTCTGGGCATTCAGTTATTAATTTGCAAACAGTCTGATTTTAATTGGAGCATTATCAGGCACAGTGCATAAACAAATCATTTTTAAAAACAGCGGGGACAATGCATTGTTTGTTCATTTATTTTAAAAATGTAATTTTAGTCTGAAATATTTATGCTAATGGTATATAAGTGAATGTTCTTATAGTGTATATTTTAGAATAAAGTTAATATGAGAGCCTACTCAGATCTCTATCAAAGCTGTGCTGAGAAATTATTCTTTCTATATGCAATTTATGCAATGTGTGGATCAGTGAAGCGCTCATTACAGAAGTTTTGCTTTATATCTCTCAAAGAGAAAAATCTATCAAAGGGCAGAGATTAAAAAGTAGAAAAAGTGCCAATGGCTTTCAAACCACACACAACTGTACATCAACAAAGCTTTAATTTTCCTCTAGGGCTTAGATACTTCTGCATAAAACAATAAACTGCATTACGCCATTTGAAAGGGGCTAGATACGGAGGGTAACATAACTAGCCTTAATTGCAATAACGTTGAACTCCAACTCCCATGGCTGTGTAGCCATTGTGAAAAAAATGTCTGTATTTTATTGAAAAATAAGATGGATCCAAATCTAATATGAAGAATCTAATATGTAGGGATATTGTGCAGTAGCGGTCCACGTATTAGAAATGTTTAGGTACATATACCAATGAGAGGAATACGAGACATCTAATATTTTCAGATACAACCAATGCAATATTATCTTGCTCCAATATTATTCAAATTAGAAAAGAAAACTATATGCATTTTCTTTGCACAACCTTACAATTCAAGACAAGAAGCAGGGCATAATAACCTGATATCTTTTAAAACTTCTGAGCTGTGCAAAATGGGCAAGGTTCTCTTTCATTTTTACAATGTGTGTGAGCAAACCAACCCAGTGAAAAGAATTTACACAGAAAACTGAGATGTGTGTCAATAAAATATTACATGCATGCTTTTTAGCTGAGACATGATACCCATAGTTGTGTCATTTTGTACCACAAGATACTTGTGTTGTAGCATTGCCTTGGTGACCTTTATCACAACTGAAGAGTAAATGAGTTACTAAAAATGCCTGTGACACTAGTGTTTCTCTTCTAAAAGTTAACAAAGCTTTTGGGATTTCAACTATTTATTTTCAAAGGAATACAGGTGGGCTTCTGATTTTGGGTAATGTGCATTTTTCCAATTTTTAATAAAATTGTGCTCATAGTTGGGAGACCAGGTACTATATGTATGCTTAATATAATAAAATCCTATGCTTTTTGAAAACTGATCTTTTGCCATTATTTAAGTCTGAAACATGTTTTAAATCAATGGAATAACATTTTTATTGCTGCTGCCACTGTTTTTCTGATTGCAATAGCCTCCGAAATATGCTTGGTTTTTTTAAACAAAATATGACAAAGTCTTTATCTTGAGAAGTGTGTAGCGTACACAACTATAGTACATAGCTACCATTCATCAACTTTTCCTCCTGTATCATTCAGGGTATTCTAGAACGGCTAGATGCTGGAGAAATTGTGATTGGAGATGGAGGCTTTGTGATAGCTCTTGAAAAGAGAGGTTATGTAAAAGCTGGACCCTGGACTCCAGAAGCTGCAGTAGAATATCCAGAAGCAGGTCAGTCTTATCAAGAAACTGTAATCATGTGAAAATTGTAAAAATCTTTGACTGTATATAATAAATTACATATGTTTATTTAATAGAATTATTAGTAGGTTTTTAAATACAAGTATTGAAACAGCTGCTTGATTATTTAAGACTCATGCACCTTTGCAATAGTGGGGATATTTTAGGAGTTTCGTATTGCCTTAAAGTGATACAGTTTGTTTAATGCCTACAAGAAATTAGAGGCTTTTCATAATTAATGTAAGGACTTAGAGATCTTTTCATATAAGATTTGCTCCACTGTAAAATGAGAAAAAATGAAAGCCTATAAAAACATAAGAAATGCCAAAGTAGAACAGGCCAGATATTTTCTCTCTGACAATGGCTAATGCAACATACATCAGAGGATGGTGTAATCTCCTTTTGTTTTCCCCAAAATGCACTAATGCATTAATTAATGGAGTAATTAATTCTCTGCCCTGCGGCAGAATTTCCTCCTGACCTAGCAAGTGATCATCTTCTGCCTCAAAGCATGAGGACTGAAAATTATAGTATAACAAGTGTAATGTAGATGCTATTATCTATTTATACATGCAATCTTTTCTAGAAACTTAAGCATCCTTATAACATCCTGTGGCAGCATGTTCCACAAGCCTATTTACATTGGGTCGAAAAGTATTTCCTTTTATTCTTTTTAAATGTAGTGCCCTTAAATTGAATGCAGGAAATAGGAATACCAGAGAAATCTTTTTTATAACAGTAGTTACCGTATTTTCCGGCGTATAAGGCGACTGGGCGTATAAGACGACCCCCTAATTTTCTAGTTAAAACATAGGTTTTCGCCTATACTCGCCGTATAAGACAACCCCCCCTTAAGAGGCCAACCGGCAGCGCCCCAGCTGCTCTGCCCCAGGGTCCACAACAAAAGCCTGGTCTGCTGGGGGGGGGGCACAGCTAGTGCGCCCCCCCCCCCCAGACCAGGCTTTTGTTGTGGACCCTGGGGCAGAGCAGCTGGGGCGCTGCCGGTTGGCCTCTTAAGGGGGGG